TATGCGTTGCAACTCAATACTTCCCCCCTTGTCCTGCGACCACGCCGGATCCTTTTAGGTTTTCGGTATGGCTTATCTGCGGCGAGGGAAGACAGCTTCAAGATTCAGGGCCACTAGACCATAGCAAGCATCACCTCTCATGAAATGGCAAGGTTGATGTCACGAGACTTCTTCAAAGTAAGCGATTATACGCCCTTCATTGCTTGCCAAGTAATTTTCAGTAAAGCTACCGCGATACTTGGTCACTGAGGCCAAATTTTGCACCCAGGCCTTTTTAGTGGTGCAAGTGTGCCGTCAGATTGGACCGAGTGCCAAGTCATACCTGCTCAAGCCGCCTGTGCACACTGAGCGAGCAGTACCGCAAAGTTCCTCGGAGTAGCACGTTCTTCCGCGGTTTACGCATTGAAATACCTTTGCCGTCACGTACCACAAAGTTTCGCACCATACCTGAATTAAGCTGGTTGTGAGATTTCCACAGAATATCCTTCAACCCGTCCTAGGATCTTTGACCATGGTAATTTGGCCTGTTGGGTGAGCACAGAGGTTATTAGCCGCAGCCGGAAGGTTTGCTAATGAATCCTGAGTGGTTCGGCAAAACTCACCATAATCTATGAGGAAGATTATCCGTCGATCCCGTCCACTGGCCCCATTCATCATGTTACCAGGTTTTACATCGCGATGGACGAATCCAATCTCATGTAACTGAAAATGAGCCATAGTTACTGTCTAATGGAGCTGGCGATCGTTTACACATTAGGCGATTAGGCGATTAGTCTATAATGAAAAATATACGTATAGATTAGGCGATTAGGCGAGTAGGCGAGTAGGCGATCAGGCGAGTAGGCGATTAGGCGGGAAGACTACATACGTATTGATTGGTTTGCTCCGCCCATAGAGCGTTGTAGGCGAGTAGGCGAGTAGGCGATTAGGCGATCGCTCAATGGGCGGAGCAACAAATCAATACGTATCCTTCTCTTATCGCCTACTCGCCTAATCGCCTAATCGCCTAATCGCACGTACGATCGCCAACTATGAACGCTCCGTAAGGCTGCTGTTTTACTTCAAACTGTCTCATCAGCTTGTATGCATTGAAGCGATTATCGATTTTACGCTGCTTAATCATTTTTGCACCTCTACTTGAGGGTTGCGAGTTGTGTTGAAAGGTTACTGTGCAACGAGGCTTACAAGGAGCTCGATTAGCCTCCTAACTCCCATTGACACATCTCTGCGCTGTCACCGATGTGGGACATCTTGTCAGATCAGTTTAGGAGGGGCGGATTTCGGAGGGAAACTGAGTATGTTGTGACTGCGTAAGGTTGCTATAGCACCTGCCCGAGATGTTTTACGTGGTTCTATGGCTGTAGTGCGCACCTGCTTGATAGCGTAAAGGGCGTAGATGCCTATCCGTAGTATAGTGCTTTCGCCGAAGCCATCGGGTGTCTTCTTCTTCAGCGACATCAGATCCGAGCCGCATATTGTTATCACTATGAAGCTGAAAAAACTGCTCTCGGTCAATGCTCTCTTGAAAATTTGGCAGCAGTTCGATCAGTGGCACACATACACCAGCCATTGAGGAAGTACCTCTGCACTCATGAGTTATTGGTACCAAATCTACTACCGTAGGGCGGAACTGGTGCTAGTGGCAAATGTCGTTGCTCACCACGCGCTCATTCCGAGCCCCAATCAGGGTCGTGCGTCGTTCGGGCCAGCCAAACCTTCCGATCCTCCGGGACGATCAGTTGGTAGTAAGACTTGTGTGAGAGGATAAAAGCCTGTTCGTTGTGGTCCCCTCAAGTCCTTGTATAGGCCAAATCGAAATTGCTATTACGATTCTGAATAGACGTAGGGTGCGTGGCGCGTCTAAGAATGGGATTGATCAACGCCAAGCGCATTCCCTTTTATGTCTGCCACCGTACTTTGAACCACCACGCTCTCGCTGGTTCTGGTTCTTGATCCAGCATTTGAGGAGGGAGCAGGAGTAAAGGAAGGTATGGTTGCTCATCCTTGTACAGTCACTTAGGTCTGTGCTGCTGTACAGTGACGATGGAAAAGGCAGGATAGTGATAAGCTCGAGATATCCCTATCAGTGGGTATATCAAAATCGTGACTCCATTGTAAGTACTTCACAATTGCCTAGCGGTTTTCCAAGGCCACTTATACCGGCTTCAAAGTTCGAAGCTGACTCGAGAACGACAGCATCCACCCGTCACCTGTACTTGGTCCGTTTTCCAGACTGCAAAAGTCGTATGACATTCTTCCGGTCGGCAAGCTTTTTCAGTACGGCTGCTTCGAGCTTCAGCACACCGCTATCGTCTTCAATGATTGCTTCAGCCTGAACATACGAACTCACTGGACGATTTCTTAGACGAAGGAAAAACGCCAACCTTCAAAGCAGCAATGTAGCCCTTCCGCTTTAGGTCTTCAACCTTGTAAACACTACCGCAACCGCCTGCACCAAGCCTTGAGATCACTTTCCATCGACCGCATACTATCTGGAAATAAGTTGTGGCTGATGACAAAGCTTTGAGGTCCAGCAAGTGGATCTTTGCCGCCTAAACCAACCTTTCCGGTATTGAACTTGATTGCTTCGTTCGCCGCCATGAACTAGTAGCTCTAGTAGTTCAGTTGACCACGACCGAGTCGTGGACACTGCTATAGGGGAATATGAATAAAAATGAACCTCACCGCAAGCTATGGAGCCTTTATTAACTCACTATCACTGTGGCCCTATCATTTACATGGATCATTTTAGCGGAATG